TCATTTTGTAATTGTTATTTGCAAAACTTATGGTGCTGTTTTAATTATCCTCCTAACAAGAACCCAAAGAACTATGAGGTTAAAAGTCAAAGTGCTAGTTTTGTGTCATCTCTTCATACGATATAAATTGTAGTTTCTACATAGCATCTCTACACGAGATTGTGTGGTATATTGAGTTTATAGTGTTAGGTCGTCTTCATCTGCGGATTAATCCTTAGCTACTGTGTCAGCTAGTTTTATGACAGAGTGAACGATAATTCCAATTGTTATTTGCAGCATGCTCAAATAGTTCTGTCTGCACCTCTTCAACTTAACAACGTTATTACAATTCTGAACGATGAGACAATTCAAAGGTTTGCTGAGCTGTAAACAGTAAATCGACCTCACAAAGCAAGGCTCACGAATTCAAAGAGTACTAGAATGCATATAGAGTTCCGAAGCTCACTTATATGCGGCGTATTTTGCAGCAAGCGTGCGCCGAACTACCGCTTAGCAATAGTTGGCTTGAAGTCCGCGAGAGAGCGGTCACACTTTCTTACTTAAGAAACGCATAGAAATCAAAGCGATGCGCTTATGAACTAATCTTTAAAAACTGGATGCGATTAAATGTGATGTTTTGCACTTCCCACTGTACTAGTACAACACTCACCCTCGCGCTGGCAATCATCCGCTCAACCCATGTATGGAAATTCTAGTTTTCTCAAACCAAGCCCCTTTATTCCTTCCCTCGCTTTATAAATGACATGCAAAAAATATTTGTGCACAGTTGCTGATAAATTTCAGTGCACAAAACCAACTTTAGTAAGTTTTCATATTTGAAAAAGCTCAGGCTAGCAGTTTAATCTTATTTCTCGTTATTAAGATTTCTTGGGAGCCTTTGGAAAGCTTCCGCCATCTAAAACTTTCATAAATAAGAAAGAAGGGAGGGGGAGGCTCGTTGTATTCTTGATTCTCTGTAATAGCAATATTTCTTTATTACTTGACCTGACTTAATTTCTTGCCTTCACCTTCGTGATAACTCAAATTGATTTCTTCAATATAACTTCCTAATATTTTCATGGTTAAGGAACTGCTGTTCATTGTGGCAATTGACTGTCTTCTTGGTGCAGTCGACTGTGTCTACGAGTCGTCTGATCTGTTCGGTCTTACAACCGAGAAAAATTCTGTGCTTTGGTATATCAAGGAGCATGTGAGTAGCTATGCCAATGTTAACTTTCCCACACTTGTCAATATTTTGAAGAAGTTATATCCTTTCAGTATTGCCTCATGCTCTTCTTGACCGTATCGATGAACTCGTACACTATCATGTTCTTGAGCAGCGATCTACGTGAAGAAGTTATCAGTACGTTCAAAATACCCCGTTGGCTTGGAAGAAACAATGTCGAAAAACGAAGAACACCGTTTATTACAGTTCAAAGTTCTTGAAATGCCGATATGATTTTGATTGTTATATAAATACAATAGCTGGTTATTAAGCTTTTGTACATGTTTGTTCAATGCGCATCTACCTATGCATGCTCCTTATTAATTTTTTTTGCTACTTAAAATACCTCAC